AGAGAGAGAGAGAGAGAGAGAGAGAGAGAGAGAGAGAGAGAGAGAGAGTGTTCTGAGTGTCTGAGTGTCAGGACAATTTGTGGGTCCTCTGTGGTAAATTTTTGAAGAAAGGAGGTGGTGGATTTTATCAGGAATGATGGCTAGAACGAACAGCGGGATCTCCCCGAAGCTTAAAGCTTTCTCAGACAGATGCTTTTAGAAGGGCTGAGGTTATCCCCGTGGTACCCGTGTGCAGGAGGGCTGAGGTTATCCTAGGGTGTTGCAGGCAGCTGGCTGAAGTTTCGGCCTCTTCAGTCCAGGGTTTATATAGACAGGTCACATGTAGAGTCCTGCGCTGCCCACTGCCACCGCTCATCTATTTCTCCTCAAACCCGGAATTCTTTTCTTCCTTTCGATAAGATAAAGCAGTTATTTGATCAGTGGCACTTCAGTTCTCATTTACGTACCAAAAGTAACATTGATTGGAAAGTTCTTTTTGAGGTGTACAAAAGGCACAGATCTGTAGGGTCCCTAGCACACAGAGGGACCTCAGCCAATGGCCATTTTTTTATTATTATTCTTATCAACGAGACCTAAGCAAAGCTCTCCATAACACGGTTATAGGCCTCCTTCGTGGTTTCTGACAACGATGCTTGTTTCTTGCGCTGAAGGTGCAGGCTGAGGTGAAGAAGACGTGGACCCGCTGGAATCTGTCCGTCGACTGGAAACGGACGCCACCTTGTGGTGGTCACAGGTACGGCGGCTCGGTGCTCACCACCGTCACTCACAGCACCAGCAGCCAGTCCCAGACGGGGGCAACCACGCGCCTGGTGCTCATCTCTGGCAAGCCCACCAAGAACGCCAGCAGGCAGATCGACAGCCACGTGACGCTGCCTGGCTACGTCTGGAGTAGTTCTGAGCAGGACTGCCAGCCACACTCAGAAGGTCACGAGAGGCAGGGAGATGATGTTCCAGCGGGGGAGTCTTCCAGACCAGTGGCGTTGACCCTGGACACCGAAGGATGCAAGGGAGAAACCGGGTGTATCTAAATCCCCATTTGGCGGATCTGGTTGTAGGGACCGAGGATGGAAGATTGGGATTCTGGAATAAAGCGCTGCTTAAACGTTTTCGGTTTCTACCAGTTGGTTCCTATAAATATTAACGCACAAAAGGGTATCACTGGGATAGTCTATTAACTTGTGTTGGCGCTATCCCCTCAAATCAATACTTTCTCTGTGGTTATTATTTTGCTTCTTTTGGATAGAAAAGGTTGCAAGCACTTGGTTCTCATAAATATCACGCCGAATATGATAAAGCTCGTTTAGTTTGCTTTGGTTTTCTTTTTAAGAAACCACTAATCTTTCTCTTTCTCATCTTAATGATCTTCCGCTATCACATCCATTTTGTCTATGTTCTGGAGCAATCGAAGAATGTACATTGAAAGACTCAAAATCTAAATCCAACTGAACTAGGAAATCAATCTACTGGGCATTAATTAAGTGATGTATTCCTGGCAGTTATGATTGATTCTAGGAGCAAAGAAAACCGCTCTATTCTTCCTTTGAATCTCTCTTGTGTGATGAGCCAAAATGTGCTTTTTGCTCTTCTTTGTATACCATGACAAGTTAGAGGTTTTTTGTCAGTGACCTTGTGTTTGAGAGCTGATCCTTGATCCTGTGTGGCCTCATCTACATTGTTGCTAACCCACTGCATCTTTGTCTCTTTCTCTGTCCTCTTGTTTGCTATGTTACAGATGGTTTGTGGGTTAAATTAAAAGTTTGTTTTAAAGATACATGTCTGGTCACTTAGAAAGTTTCCTTTCATCACTGCACAGTGTTCTTGAGAAGCAACCAAATGTTCTCTTCACAAGTCTGCAGCTCTGTGCACATAGCTTCCACGCTTTGCCAGATCTGAAGTTTGAATGATGAGAACATTTCTTAAGTGCACACCACTGAGCAGGCATTCTGCTGGGGTTTTACAAGGACTGGCTCGCTGCAAATTCTGGAGTAGGTTTTTGTTTTGTTTTGTTTTTAACCATTGTCACTGTTTTTACAATGACTCACAAGGTGATTCAGCCTACCCAAAGTCATTGAGTAAGTGTGGTTTCATTTGCCGTCTACTGACTTCAAGACTCAGGCACTCACAAGTGTTATCACACACACACACACACACACACACACACACACACACACAAATATGTGTAAGCACACACACCATTAACCAATGAAATAATTTAATGACTCCTGGGTAAAGAATTGCTTCAAGACCTTGTATTGCAATGTATTGTAGTGTCTGACTGTCATGAAGTTTCCACTCATGTAAAAGGCAAATCTATATAAAAGGCATCAGAACAGTGTATTTTGAGCTAAAACAACACAGTTGAAGCTGCTGTTTCCCGTTCTACTGAATGGCTTCAACAGTGCAATGACTTAGGTACTCCGATACTTACGCACTTCTTGCCCTTTTTTCCTTTTCTGGCTCATCCAATGGAGTCATTTCCTTTGCATCCAGCTTTTGAAGATGCCACTGGGCTTATTTAGCCCACCCTACTCAGTTCTTCATTGTTGCCTCCCGGAGCTGCCTGCCTGTAAGGAGAGAACCTTCATGGGCTGAGGTTAAGTCAGAGATTAAGTTCAGTTCTGTGGCTAATTTTATGCAGACTTTCACATCTTAGCTTTTTTAATAATTCAGTTGATCTATGTTGAAAATGAAGAAACTTTTATAATTCAGTTAGTTCACTGAAAAATATAAGGACTACTATCAGTCTACTTAAAAGAGAAGTTATGATTGATAAGGAAAAACACACATTAAAAGTACTCTGTGATACAAATATTCTATAAAAATGCTTGGTTAATACCATTATTATCAATATTTAAGATACATTTAAAAAAAATTTGCCTTCTTATCAATGACCTTAGTGGCTACTGTAATACAATAAGGGAGTTTTGACATAGAAATATTTAGAGAACATGTAAAATAATGACTTCTTGCCTGCTCCAAATCCTGAGGCTGGACCACCACTCCTTTATATAACAAGTAGGAGCACAGGAAAGCCCATCTTTATACTTCAGATCCCCATCACATGATGCAAGGCATCACTTTCTAAATCGTCACTGTAAAGCGCGGCATGTGCACACACCAGATGCTTGTCAATTTGGAAATACAAGAAGTTCCAGATGCAAGAGGTTCAAATGGTAGGTCACGGGGCTGTGGGAGGGCACGTGTGGCTACTGAAATGAATACTGATACTATATATTTCTTGCACTCAAATAAAAGCTTGACCCCAGAGATCCTTACTGCCCAAGGTAAACATGGATGGTTTAGACCACATAACTATTTATTGAACCTGTGACTAAAACACAAAGTATATTCATTTTACAGCATGCAATGTTGTAAACATATCCAAATACCCAACAACTTTGGTTTTGAATCTCAGGAAAAAGAGTAATAATACATGTGAGTTTCTGTATATTGCTTGCACTCATAGATTGACATCAAATACTTAAGACTGAATCCTGGATAACGTGGGCACATAAATGACACTGAAGATGTTCACACACAATCCTCATAACTGATGATTGTATCAGGCTTCATGGGGAGGGAAAACAAAGGTCACAACTAGAATTGATATTTGCTGATCAGCTGACTTTAAAACAGGGGAAATTATCTTAGATCACCTGGGCAGAATCTACTTAATGACAGTGGTTCTTAAAAAAATGAAACAAAAGCAAAGACCAAAGAGGGAGGCAGGGTGATATGATTTGGGGACCTGACCTGTTTGTTGTTCCGGGTTTTGGATGTGAGAAAGGAGCTCTGAGCCAGGAGATGCTCAGAGCTTACAGAGGCTGGAAACAGCCATGCCAGCTTCTCCTGCGGAGCTTCCAAGAGGGAAGGCAGCTTCACTGACTTCAGCCAGACCTCTGCTGAATTCCACCTACAGAAGTATAGAACAAAATGTGCTGTTTTAAGATGCTGGCTTTCCAGGTTCTTTCTATTATGAATAAAGCTGCTACCCAGATGTGCCTCAACTGAGGAGTGGATACAGAAATTGTGGTACATTTACACAACGGAATACTACTCAGCAATTAAAAACAAGGAAATCATGAAATTTGCAGGCAAATGATGGGATCTAGAAAAGATCATCCTGAGTGAGGTATCCCAGAAGCAGAAAGACACACATGGCACATACTCACTTATAAGTGGATATTAAACATATAATATAGGATAATCATACTAAAATCTGTACACCTAAACAAGCTAAACAAGAAGGAGGACCGTGGATAAGAGGATCAATCCTCATTTAGAAAGGCAAATGGGATGGACATCAGAAGAGGGAGAAAACAGGAAACAGGACAGGAGCCTCTGAAAGACTCTACCCAGCAAGGTATCAAAGCAGAGGCTGAGTTTCATGGCCAAACTTTGGGCAGAGTGCAGGGAATCTTAAGAAAGAAGGGGAAGATAGAAAAACCTGGAAGGGGTAGGAGCTCCACAAGAAGAGAAAAAAAATCTGGTCCAGGGGTCTTTTCTGAGACCAATACTCCAACCCAGGACCAGGCATGGAGATAACCTAGAACCCTGCACAGATATAGCCCATGGCAGCTCAGTGTACAAGTGGGTTACTTAGTAATGGGAACAGGGACTGCCTCTGACATGAATTCAGTGGCTGGTTCTTTGATCACCTCCTCCTGAGGAAGGAACAGCCTTACCAGGCCACAGAGGAAGACAATGCTGCCAGTCCTGAGGAGACCTGATAGGCTAGGGACGGATGGAAGGGGAGGAGGACCTCCCCTATCAGTGGACATGGAGAGGGGTATGGGAGGAGATGAAGAAGGGAGGGTGGGATTGGGAGGGAATGACAGAGGGTGCTACAGTTGGGATACACAATGAATAAACTGTACTTAATATAAAAGAAAAATAAAAATTAAAAACAAAACCCAAACAAGCAAAAAATATGCTGGTTTTGTGGTCTTTTATAATAGTGACCATAGAAAACTGTTAGAGGGATTTATATGTATTTCTAATAAGAATTGAAATCATTCACAATTGTTTCTTGGAAATTAATTCTGTGCCAGTTTTTTCACAGTATTTTTAGATAGTATTTCATGCATTATATTTATAAGGAAGAAATTTCTCTTATTTGCCATTTTACTATAAAATGTACATGTTTCAGCAATTGTTTTGTTTTGGAAATTCAATGATGATGTTGTTGGACAGCATATTATACTGTTTCTGTTTCTGGGTGACCTGCTCTGTATTTAAAAGACCAGAAAAACTCCACCAGAAACTCAAGTTTTTATAAATTGTCATCAAAGTGGCAGAATAAAAAAAAAATCAACACAAAAATCAGTAGCTTTCTACACAGTAAAACCAAACTTGGTGAGAAAGAAATCAGGAAAAAAAAAATCAATTCACAATATTCTTAAGCCAGCAAACAAACCAACTAAAACCTTAAAAACATAAGAAAAAAAAGCTAACCGAGGGATCACAATAAATGTTTGAAAACATTAAAGAAAGAATTGAATGGAGATGAAAAGATCCCCAGTACTCCGGGATTGGCAGAACTTATATTGTGAAAAAATGGCTGTATTATTGAAAATGATCTACATATTCTGTGCAATTCCAATGACATTCTCCACAGAACTAGAAAAATAATCCTGAAATTCATATGGAGCCATGCATAGGCAAAAGACCCCGAATAGACAGCATAATTCTTTTTTTTTTCCTTCTCTGTTCTCTTTATTTATAAGAATAGCCTCCATAGATAATCACAATATTTTGTACATGGATTATTTCTCTGAATCATGTAGAAGATTCCTCATCCCGTTTTATTGTTGTTATTATTATTGTAAATGTTGTTTTACTTTCTTATTATATATATAATCTTATTATGCATATATTATATTATAGACTTAAATATATAACTGTTTTTTTTTAAATTTTATTTTTTTCTTATCAGTTACATTTTATTAACTCTGTATCCCAGCCGTGTCCTGCTCCCTCATTCCCTCCCAATCCCACCCTTCCTCCCTCATCTCCACTGTGCCCCTTTCCAAGTCCACTGATAGGGGGAACCTCCTCCCCATTCATCTGATCCTGTTTTATCAGGTATCTTCAGGACTGGCTGCAATGCCCTCCTCTGTGGCCTAACAGGACTGCTCCTCCCTTGGGGGGTGGGGAGGTCAAAGAGCCAGCCATTGAGTTCCTGTTAGAAATAGTCCTTGTTCCCCTCACTATGGGAAACCAATTGGTTACTGAGCTGCCACAGGCTACATCTGAGCAGAGGTTCTAGGTTATATCCATACATGGTCCTTGGTTGAATGACAGTCTCTGAGAAGACCCTGTGCCCAGATATATTTGGTCCTTCTGGAGCTCCTATCCTTTCCCCATCATACTAACTCTCCTTCTTTCATATGATTCCCTGTACTCTGCCAAAGGTTTGGTCATGTGTCTTTGTATCTGCTTTGAAAACACTGCTAGTTAGGGTCTTTCAGATGCACTCAGTAGACTCCTGTCATACGTTCAATGCACATCCCATCTGTCTTTCTAAATGAGGATTGATCATCTTACCCCATGTCCGCTCTCTTGATTATCTTTTTTAGGTGTATAGATTTCATTATGTTTGTCATATCTTATAGGTCTATATAAGTGAGTATATACCGTGTTTGTCTTTCTCCTTCTGGGATATTTCACTCAGGATGATCTTTTCTAGATCCCACCATTTGCCTGCAAATTTCATGATTTCCTCCTTTTTGATTGCTG